CTTCTGGAGACTAAACAATCCCAGTTCCCTCAGCCTCTCCTCATAAGTCATGTGCTCCAGACCCCTAATCATTTTTGTTGCCCTCCGCTGGACTCTTTCCAATTTTTCCACATCCTTCTTGTAGTGTAGGGCCCAAAACTGGACACAGTACTCCAGATGAGGCCTCACCAATGTCGAATAAAGGGGAACGATCGCGTTCCTCGATCTGCTGGCAATGCCCCTACTTATACAGCCCAAAATGCCGTTAGCCTTCTTGGCAACAAGAGCACACTGTTGACTCATATCCAGCTTCTCGTTTCAAACATTGCACAACACTGGAAAGCAGAAGGGCCTGGGCTCGCAGTGGAGCTGTGGGGAGGAGAAAAATGTTTTAATTCTATTTTTTTTAAATGAAAAGAAATTGGCTTAAAAGTAGATGTAAAATCTAATTGGGGGGGCGGGGCAGAGAAGTGAAATGTTTATTTTCAGACTGGACTGGGTTCAATCAATTATTTCAAATAGATTCTTATAAAATACCCACCTACTCTATAGATCCATCACTCGTATTATCTCTAGCATGTGTGGTGTACAATCTACAGCCCCAACGTGATAGCGGCCCCAATTCCCATTCCCTTCCCTGGGAGATGAAGGGGTTCGACATCTCACAAAACACACTCAGCACCTGACCTTATCTTTTAGGAGGGCTCAATGTGTTCCTGTTATCTGTGGGGAATGTTTTTGTACCATCCTTGATATTGGGATGTTCTGGTATCACTTGATATCGGGATGTGTTTGCGTGAGTACTCTGTGCTTAGCGCCAGTTCCCTGCTGCACGTTCCAGAAGACCGCTCTGAAAATTGCCCGGTAAAGCTGCACAGGAGAATGTGAATTCTTTTCCTGGAGGTTCTGACCAAACAGCTTGAAGGAGGTCGCCACACACAAGGTAAAGGGCTTGTATCTTGCTAGCCTCAAGTCATTCGCTCCAGTCCTGCTCATGGCCTTGGGTAATTTTTCAGCCAAAACTTTTTTCCAGTGAAAAATACAGACTCGGGGATACTGAAATGTCTCACAAATCCAGAGCGAAGTCACCAAATTGGTTTGGTCGAAACCAAACCCAACCGGCCAACCAACCGGAAAAGTCTGAAAACATTGAAACGTTTTGTTTCAACATTATCAAAATGAGTCATCTCGGTGTTTCGGTTTGAAAACAAATTGTTGTCAGAAATTCCCTTCAATTTTATTAAACAAATTGAAAACCTTAAAAATGCTCAAAATGGAAGCGAAACATTTTGCCCCAAACAATTTTTTCCCAACTTTTTAGATGTGCTGAAAATTTCAAAAAAATGTCAGTTTTGGGTGGATCCCAAATGATTTTTGCTTTAATTTTGCAAAGTTGCCAGAGAATGGAAGAATCGGTTATTCGCACAGCTCTAGGTGTAGCGTCTTAGCATCCTGAGATCCAGACCCTGGCTTTCACCCCTCTGTTTCTCTCCTCACCTGGATAATATGTGCTTCTCTGCTCTCGGCCGTGGGCAGGGTTTTGCTGAAGAGGAACTTTCTGGTTTCCATCGTTACCAACGTGTTTCGTAAAAGGGGCATGCTCAGATACCCAGTATTGTCATGGCTTGTGTGGTATTGTCCACAGTGACAGAGAAGGAAGGTAGTGAGGGAGGGCTTGTGGGGGGATATTGAGAACTCTGCTTTAGCCATGTTTAGCTTGAGCCGACGGCTAGACATCCATGAGGAGATGTCAGAGAGACAGGCCAAGACTGTAGTGTGGACAGAAAGAGGCAGGTCTGGAGTAGAGAGGTAGGTCTGTGAGTCATTGTCAGAGACAACTGCTGAACTTATGTTTGTGAAGGAGATTGCCCAGAGACAAGTGTTAGAGGGAGAAGAGAAAGGGACCATGGATGGATCCCTGTAGAACCCCCACAGAAAGCTGGAGGGGGATGAGAAGGACCCTCCAGAGGACACGCTGAAGGAGTGATTAGAGAGGTAGGAGGAGAACCAGGAGAAGACAGCGTTATGGCAGCCCAGGAGGGACAAGATTTCAAGAAGAAGAATGTGTCTGATGGTGTCAAAGGTGGCTGACAGATGAAGAAAGCTAAATATAAGAACGGCCATACTGGTCAGACCAAAGGTCCATCTAGCCCAGGTGCCCCAGAGGGAATGAACAGAACAGGGAATCATCAAGTGATCCATTCCTGGTCACCCATTCCCAGCTTCTGGCAAACAGAGGCTAGGGACACCATCCCTGCCCATCCTGGCTAATAGCCATTGATGGACCTATCCTCCATGACAGGTTTCAGAGTAGCAGCCGTGTTAGTCTGTAGCCGCAAAAAGAACAAGAGTACTTGTGGCACCTTAGAGACTAACAAATTTATTAGAGCATAAGACTTCGTGGGCTACTGCCCACTTCTTCGGATGCATATAGAGTGGAACATATATTGAGGAGATATATATACACACATACAGAGAGCATGAACAGGTTTGTTAGTCTCTAAGGTGCCACAAGTACTCCTGTTTTATCCTCCATGAATTTATCTCATTCTTTTTTTAGCCCTGTTATAGTGTTGGCCTTCACAACATCCTGTGGCAAGGAGTTCCACAGGCTGACTGGGTTTTGTGTGAAAAAATACTTCCTCTTGTTTGTTTTAAACCTGCGGCCTATTAATTTCATTTGGTGGCCCCTAGTTCCTGTGTTATGAGAAGGAGTAAACAACGCTTCCTTATTTACTTTCTCCACACCAGTCATGATTTTATAGACCTCTATCATATCCTCCCTTAGTCATCTCTTTTTCATACTGAAAAGTCCCAGTCTTATTAATCTCTCCTCATATGGCAGCTGTTCCATACCACTAATCATTTTTGTTGTCCTTTTCTGAACCTTTTCCAAGTCCAATGTATCTTTTTTGAGATGGGGCAACCACATCTGCATGCAGTATTCAAGATGTGGGTGTACCATGGATTTATATAGAGGCAATATGATAATTTCTGTCTCATTATCTATCCCTTTCTTAATGCTTCCCAACATTCTGTTTGCTTTTTTGACTGCCGCTGCACACTGAGTGGATGGTTTCAGAGAACTATCCACAATGACTCCAAGATCTCTTTCCTGAGTGGTAACAGCTAATTTAGACCCCATCATTTTATATGTATAGTTGGGATTATGTTTTCCAATGTGCATTACTTTGCATTTATCAACATTGAATTTCATCTGCCATTTTGTTGTCTAGTCACCCTTTGTAGCTCTTCGCAATCTACCTGGGACCTAACTATTTTGAGTAGTTTTGTATCATCTGCAAATTTTGCCACCTCACTGTTTACCCTTTTTCCAGATCATTTCTGAATATGTTGAATAGGACTGGGCCCAGTACAGACCCCTGGGGGACACCACTATTTACCTCTCTCCATTCTGAAAACTGACCATTTATTCCTACCCTTTGTTTCCTATCTTTTAACCAGTTACCGATCCATGAGAGAACCTTCCCTCTTATCCCATGACAGCTTACTTTGCGTAAGAGCCTTTAGTGAGGGACCTTGTCAAAGGTTTTCTGAAAATCTAAATACATTATATCCACTGGATCCCCCTTGTCCACCCCCCTCAAAGCATTTTAGTAGATTGGTGAGGCAAAAAAAACATGTTGACTCTTCCCCAACAAATTATGTTCATGGAGGGCTGGTTTTGATCTTTGGACAGGAGAGGGTCACAAGAGACTTTGGTGACAGTGATTTCAGTGGAGGACAGAAGGTGAGAGGTGGATTGGAGATGATATAGGGTCAAATTGGAGGAGAGGACAATGCTGTCCTGGGGAGAGACAGCCAATGAGAGGGCAGCCCGAGCTGGAGAGGGGACTTGGGATCCATCCCAAGGGGCAGATGCTATTAGAGAAGGGAAGTAGATTGAAATAAAACCTACAGATGTAATGGAGAGAAAGTACCAAGGGAAAGAAAATATAATTGCAATATAATTGATCAAAACCTTGATCAAGTAGAGGGAAATAAAACCTACAGATGTAATGGAGAGAAAGTACCACAGGAAAGAAAATATAATTGCAAATGGAATTGATCAAAACCTTGTGTTAGCTGCAAACAGATTCTGGAAATGGTAAACAAGAAGCCCCCCCACAAAGGACCTACAGAGAGTTATGAACAGAGAGAATGGCTGTTTGAACATCTATTGACCGAATACAGTTCAAAGGCACCTAATGGACAAGTGAGGGCCCAGTAGGTGTAAAAACCCTGCTCGTGGATAAACTTGGTGGAAGAGGTACAGCCACAGGAACATCGAATCCAAGGAGCACTTCAAACCAAAGAGATGCAAAGAACAGCGAGAGTGGAGCAGGACTTACAGCCAAGCAGAGGGAAAGGTGATTCTTCTCTGAAGTGACACAGTCTATTGTTAAGTAATCTCTTTTGTTCTTGTTAATAACAATGCAGTTGGTCCTAATGGTGCAGAATGAGGAAGCGTAGCGTGTGCAAACTTGCAAAAGTTACTGAGTTGGGAATCTCTAGTTTATTATTGTAAACAGCATGTCTTCAGCAATGGTCTATATTATTTATGCTCCTGGTACAAACTTGGGGGTTTTCCCTAGAAAGTTCTAAAAGTTTAAAATGATCCCATGTGCCTTGGTTTGCCTCTGCCTCTCCTCCCGGCTGGCATAGCTTCGCCTAGTTGGGTGACCACACAGACAGACTGGGAGAGGCTGCAGTTTCTCTGTTGCTTCTGCGTGGGAGTCTCCCTGGCCAGGAGCCCAGGACAATCAGACAT